TCATATCTGCCTATCTCACCAGTACGAGTGTCTCAGCTGTCTGGCTCTCACCTGCGTCCGTGTGTCTGAACTTCGTCGATGGGTCTCACCTGTCCCACAGGACGGTGGACGGGAAGACTTACCTGGGCAGCGTCAAGGACAGACTGCAGGCAAAGCTGCAGTACCAGCGGGCGCGACAGTCCCACCTGCCACCTGTTCTGCTCCGGTGAGCAAAGACAAAGACAAAGATCCCCCGTAAAGCCTGAACAGACTGTTGGGGCTCGGCACACGAGGGGGTGGGTGGCGATGTGTTAGGGGCCGTCCATAAATGGCGTCACGCACCTGGGGGGTGGGGAGGTCAGACATTTGTGACAATGTGTGACAAGGGGGGAGGGGGGTTGAGAAATGTGTCGTCACATCAAAATGCGCAACTTTAAATAAATATAGACAACACGTTCTACTTAATTAAATAGACTTTTTAATAAATGTTTTTTTTCCTACAGCATCAGAGTGCAGCGCCACATTAAATACGCACTACAATGACAATAGTTTAAAGCGATTTGAAGCATGTGTTTTTTTTGGGGGGGGGTGGGGCAGAGCTTTGTGACGTCATATTTGAGGGGGGGGTCTGACTTTTTGTGACGCCGTGTGACGAAGGGGGGGGGGTCAAAAATCGTCCAAAATCGCGTGACGTCATTTATGGATGGCCCCCTATACACACTGCTCCAGGTACTCATTTGAGGCTGAGCCGACCTAGGGGAGGCCCAGCACTGGTTCAGATAATCATCACTGGTATTAGCCATGAGCAGGAATCCAACTCGGATAGCCGGGGTTCATAGTGCGGTGCGCTAACTGCAACACTACTGCGCCATTCTCTAACGAGCAAACATGAAGATGGCCCGTATCGCCTTAACCGACGATCGGGGTGAGTACTGTTAGCGAGAAGACATACACGGACACACACTCTCCGTCTCCACGAGCATATTGGAGCCGGCATGGGGCCAGCATGGTATAGGCTAATGACGTGCGCGTTGCGTGGGCATCGTCAGGTCCAAGAGAAGGGATTAAACGATTCTCCAAGGATCCGCCAATCGTGCATGAGAGTGAAGTGGGGAGGGTCATGCAGCGGTTAGCGCGCTGCGCTATGAACCCGGCGACCGGGGTTCATAGCGCAGCTCTCGGCGAACACCATTGACGATTATCTGAGCCGGTACCTGGGCCTACCCTAGATCGACTCACTCTCAAATGAGTACCTTGTGCGGTGTGTAAACATCGTCACTGGGGAGACAAAGGCGGTCGGACATGGTGCTGGCCAACCACCCCCTCGTGTACCGTTCCGGCCTTTACAGGTGCTCGCTAACAGCACTTTCCTCAACAGTCTGTTAAGGCTACACGGGTGATATTTATCTTTGCCTTGGAGTGTGTGAGTGTGTGCTGGAGTATGTGAGTGTGTGATGGAGTATGCGAGTGTGTGTTGGAGTATGCGAGTGTGTGTTGGAGTATGTGAGTGTGTGCTGGAATATGTGAGTGTGTGATGGAGTATGCGAGTGTGTGCTGGAGTATGTGAGTGTGTGATGGCATATGCGAGTGTGTGATGGAGTATGCGAGTGTGTGATGGAGTATGTGAGTGTGTGATGGAGTATGTGAGTGTGTGATGGAGTATGCGAGTGTGTGCTGGAGTATGTGAGTGTGTGATGGCGTATGCGAGTGTGTGATGGAGTATGCGAGTGTGTGGTGGAGTATGTGAGTGTGTGATGGAGTATGTGAGTGTGTGCTGGAGTTTGTGAGTGTGTGATGGAGTATGCGAGTGTGTGGTGGAGTATGTGAGTGTGTGATGGCGTATGCGAGTGTGTGCTGGAATATGTGAGTATGTGCTGGAGTATGCGAGTGTGTGATGGAGTATGTGAGTGTGTGATGGCGTATGCGAGTGTGTGCTGGAATATGTGAGTATGTGCTGGAGTATGCGAGTGTGTGCTGGAGTATGTGAGTGTGTGATGGCATATGCGAGTGTGTGATGGAGTATGCGAGTGTGTGATGGAGTATGTGAGTGTGTGATGGAGTATGCGAGTGTGTGATGGAGTATGCGAGTGTGTGCTGGAGCATGTGAGTGTGTGATGGAGTATGCGAGTGTGTGCTGTAATATGTGAGTGCGTGATGGAGTATTCGAGTGTGTGATGGAGTATGCGAGTGTGTGATCGAGTATGTGAGTGTGTGACGGAGTATGTGAGTGCTGGAGTTTGTGAGTGTGTGATGGAGTATGCGAGTGTGTGCTGTAATATGTGAGAGTGTGATGGAGTATGCGAGTGTGTGATGGAGTATGCGAGTGTGTGATGGAGTATGCGAGTGTGTGCTGCAGTATGCGAGTGTGTGCTGGAGTATGCGAGTGTGTGCTGCAGTATGCGAGTGTGTGCTGGAGTGTGCGAGTGTGTGCTGGAGTATGTGAGTGTGTGCTGGAGTTTGTGAGTGTGTGATGGAGTATGCGAGTGTGTGATGGAGTATGCGAGTGTGTGATGGAGTATGTGAGTGTGTGATGGAGTATGCGAGTGTGTGATGGAGTATGTGAGTGTGTGATGGAGTATGTGAGTGTGTGATGGAGTATGCGAGTGTGTGCTGGAGTATGTGAGTGTGTGATGGCGTATGCGAGTGTGTGATGGAGTATGCGAGTGTGTGGTGGAGTATGTGAGTGTGTGATGGAGTATGTGAGTGTGTGCTGGAGTTTGTGAGTGTGTGATGGAGTATGCGAGTGTGTGGTGGAGTATGTGAGTGTGTGATGGCGTATGCGAGTGTGTGCTGGAATATGTGAGTATGTGCTGGAGTATGCGAGTGTGTGATGGAGTATGTGAGTGTGTGATGGCGTATGCGAGTGTGTGCTGGAATATGTGAGTATGTGCTGGAGTATGCGAGTGTGTGCTGGAGTATGTGAGTGTGTGATGGCATATGCGAGTGTGTGATGGAGTATGCGAGTGTGTGATGGAGTATGTGAGTGTGTGATGGAGTATGCGAGTGTGTGATGGAGTATGCGAGTGTGTGCTGGAGCATGTGAGTGTGTGATGGAGTATGCGAGTGTGTGCTGTAATATGTGAGTGCGTGATGGAGTATTCGAGTGTGTGATGGAGTATGCGAGTGTGTGATCGAGTATGTGAGTGTGTGACGGAGTATGTGAGTGCTGGAGTTTGTGAGTGTGTGATGGAGTATGCGAGTGTGTGCTGTAATATGTGAGAGTGTGATGGAGTATGCGAGTGTGTGATGGAGTATGCGAGTGTGTGATGGAGTATGCGAGTGTGTGCTGCAGTATGCGAGTGTGTGCTGGAGTATGCGAGTGTGTGCTGCAGTATGCGAGTGTGTGCTGGAGTGTGCGAGTGTGTGCTGGAGTATGTGAGTGTGTGCTGGAGTTTGTGAGTGTGTGATGGAGTATGCGAGTGTGTGATGGAGTATGCGAGTGTGTGCTGGAGTATGTGAGTGTGTGATGGAGTATGCGAGTGTGTGATGGAGTATGCGAGTGTGTGGTGGAGTATGTGAGTGTTTGATGGCGTATGCGAGTGTGTGATGGAGTATGCGAGTGTGTGCTGGAGCATGTGAGTATGTGCTGGAGTATGCGAGTGTGTGCTGGAGTATGTGAGTGTGTGATGGCATATGCGAGTGTGTGATGGAGTATGCGAGTGTGTGATGGAGTATGTGAGTGTGTGATGGAGTATGCGAGTGTGTGATGGAGTATGCGAGTGTGTGATGGAGTATGCGAGTGTGTGCTGGAGCATGTGAGTGTGTGATGGAGTATGCGAGTGTGTGCTGTAATATGTGAGTGCGTGATGGAGTATTCGAGTGTGTGATGGAGTATGCGAGTGTGTGATCGAGTATGTGATTGTGTGACGGAGTATGTGAGTGCTGGAGTTTGTGAGTGTGTGATGGAGTATGCGAGTGTGTGCTGTAATATGTGAGTGTGTGATGGAGTATGCGAGTGTGTGATGGAGTATGCGAGTGTGTGCTGCAGTATGCGAGTGTGTGCTGGAGTGTGCGAGTGTGTGCTGGAGTATGTGTGTGCTGGAGTTTGTGAGTGTGTGATGGAGTATGCGAGTGTGTGATGGAGTATGCGAGTGTGTGCTAGAGAATGTGAGTGTGTGATGGAGTATGTGAGTGTGTGCTGGAGTGTGCGAGTGTGTGCTGGAGTATGCGAGTGTGTGCTGGAGTTTGTGAGTGTGTGATGGAGTATGCGAGTGTGTGATAGAGTATGCGAGTGTGTGATGGAGTATCCGATTGTGTGATGGAGTGTGTGCTGGGGTATGCGAGTGTGTGTCCTATGTGTTTTATGATACGCGCAACGCCTTTATCAAACCGCCGTGCGTCGTGTTGCGCATGGTAACAGCTGAGCAGCACGGCTCGTGCTGTGGAAAAACAAAACACAACGTGGCTCAGTTGTGCCGCAGGAAAGGGCGAGGGGTGGGGGTAAAGGGGTTCAGGTGAGACGAAGGATTCCTTCCAGGTGAACAGGAACATTACTGGCCCCACGTCAAATGTGACTTCCGAGGTAACTCTTCAATACAGTGAGGCTGGGGGTATTGGTGTAGCAGCGCTGTAGCCGCTTGCCTGCGCCACTGCTGGCGGAAGGGCCTCCACTAACTCGCTGACCCGCCCCTGCTGGACGTCTGTGAAAAAGAGCTTCATGGCTTATCAGATTTCTCCAGTCTAAAATAGAGATTCAGATTCTAAATTCTAGACTAAGCATTTATTTTTATTTCACCAGGCAAGGCCCCACTGAGCTATGTCGCTCTTTTTAAGAAGCGACCCAAATTTCACAAATGACAGCTTAACCCAGTGGCTTATCGCCATGTGGAAATTCATAACAGCCAAATATTTATAATTGAAAACTCATTTCTTTAGACTGCTTTTTGTATTTAGTTTGTTGTTCTTCCCCCGCACCTCTGATTAGCCACGGTTGGCTGCGTTCCATGCGAAATAAGTTCAACATACAGATTATAATCTAAACGAAACTATAATCTATTTTTATTTTAACAGGTAAGGCCCACTGAGCTACATAGGTCTTTCTTAGAAACGACCTGGCTATCACAAATGATAGCTCAACTCAGTGGGCTTATCATCATCACGTACACATTCATAGCAGCAGCCAAATACTCTCCAAACGCTTGGTGTTGATTAAAATGTGGAGGGAAAAACCGGGGGACCCGGAGAAAAATTAACGCGACCACCATGGGGAGAGAGAGAGACTGCAACCTTCAAATATACAGTAGGCATCAGGGTCGGGATCGAACGCACAACCTCATGTATACCAGTCGAGGTAGTTAACATCTCGCACCAGGCGAGTACCTGGTGCGGTGTTTAAACATCGGCACTGGGGAGACAAAGGCGGCCGCGCGTGGCGCTGGCCACCCACCCCCTCGTGTGCCATGCCGGCTTTCATAAGTACTACTCGCTAAGAGCACTTGACCCAACAGTCTGTTAAGGCTGCACGGGGGATATGTCTTTCTCTGTGCATCTGTAGTGGGGAGCGGTAGCATAGCGGTTAGCGTGCCGCGCTATGAACCCCGGCAAAATCGGGTTCGATTCTCGGTCAAGGTCGACACACATACACCGGTGACTATTATCTGGTGCCCCGTCACAATTTTGATTCGCTCACTCGTGGCTCACCCGTGACCCACCCGTGACTCCCTGGGGTCCATCTGTCCCACCGGCGATGGGGCCGCTGGCCGCAGGAGCCCCGGGCGCGACGTGGAGCGCTTTATGGTGGGCGTGAGCCTCGCTCCGGGCAGCACCGTGCAGTTCGAGCTGTGCTACGATGAACTCCTGCGCCGTCAGCTGGGCCGCTACGAGCACACTCTGAGCCTGCGCACGGCACAGCGCGTGCAGACTATGCAGGTACACGCACGTGCATGTACACACACACCATGCAGGTACCCGTGTACTCACACGCTGAGCCTGTGCACCACACAGTGCGTGCAGACCATGCAGGTGTAATTTAGCACTCGGAGATGCTGTATTGATGTTTTATATTTATTCAAAGTGTCACAGAAGGATGTAGGCTGGCTAAATGTAGCTACTACGTGACGTTCCCTATATATCTGGTTGACTATTTAGGGAGACGTCGATGTAGCCATCAAAGACGATGTTGACTTCATAAATTAGACGATGTCGATAACAGGGACGACGACAACGATGAGGACAGCGATGATCGTAGCCACGGAGCCAGAATCCCCACGGCAGCCCCGAGCCCCATTCCACGCTCCCCCTATATATTCCTCCGGACTCAGCTCCCGCCCCTCGCTCGACCCTCTCTCTCGCAGCTCTCCCCACCTGGCGTATTGTCTAGGAGCCCCGCCTCATCCGGTCACTGTAATGATCACTCATGGCCTCTAAGTCACGCACTGTCCTTACATCACCCCCCCCCTTCTAAAAAAAATATCCGTCCCGGCTAACACTGATTTTTTTATTCAACATTATGGCAGAACCATCTACATTAAAAACAACAACCCGACGACCGACGAACAAAACGCGTATAAGGATGAATGGGCGGTATAACCCGACTCGCCCGAGAGAAAAAAAACCCCCAATATTTCCAATATAACGCAAGTGGCGTGAACCAACTCGATCAACACAGCAGCAGACGAACATTCCCGATGAAACGATCGCAACATTAACACAACACAAATTCTGGCGATCCGCTAACGGAATGTCAAGCATTTTGACCGGGTCCTTGATGCCAGTCCATCGCTCCGGGTGAGTTGCTGAGCCTCCCTCGGCAACAGGGGCTCACAAACAGGGGGCTTGCACACAAGCCTTGAAGGGGTGGGCTCCTCTTTGGTCATCCGGAAGAAACCGACCGGTCCACTACCGGCGGTCCAACGCTTGTGGCAGAATCCTGGGGCTCCCCCGACATCAGACGCTCGGAAACTGTGGGCAGCACAACGCATTTTTCTCAGCATACAATTACTTTGGCCAGCTGCCCCGACTCGCCAGACATACCAGACACCGGTCGCACAGACGTTGGGGATGAGCTATCTAACTGGGGATACACATAAGGTTTTAGGCACGATGGGTGGACGAAGCAATGGTGACGTCCCGCCTGCCACTCGCACACACTGTGGGCGCTTAATTTCTATTATTTCCACAGGGCCTGCCATGGCCGGTGCAATTTAAGGGACGTATGCAGCGACACATGAGGGCAGTGCAACCATGCCCTGTCCCCTATTCTCCACAGGAGCATATCCACCCGGCGGGCCGCGTTCTTTTCATTAGTGGCCTGTGGCCTGGCAAAGTTTTCAGTGGCCGCCTCGTGTGCTTCCGATACCCAATCCAGCGTGACTTGCAGGGGCACGGGCATAGTCTACTTCTTTTTCCCGGAGGCCATACCCAATTGAGCCTTAATGGGGGGTTCATTTTCCCGCCCATACATGAAGAAAATGGAGGCATGAGGGGCCATCCTATATGCCGCAAGGACCCCAGGAACATGCAAGTCCCAATCTGTCTGCGCCTCCGGGAAAGCATCGATGTCAAGGTCCTGTGAAGGCATTCTACCATGCCATCTGTCTGAGGATGGTAAGGCGCCGTCCAAATATTTTTCGTGCCCAGCACGTCGCACACCTCGCGCAGCAGCTTAGAGTAAAAATTCCTGACCTGGTCCATAAGGAGCTGCTCCTTTGTCCATCATATAGCCATGCATCGGCTATGGATGCAGCTGTCTGAAAAATATTCCACCCCGACAAGGAGGAATTTATTCCCTTTTTTGCGCAGAGGTAAAAGGTCCCAGAATGTCAAGCGCGACCAGCTCATTGACTCAGGACACTGTGATGGACTGCAACGGGGGTTGAGACTTTTTGGCAGGTGGTTTCCGGTGTGCACAGTCGGTGCAACCCATGACATTCCCGGCCAAAAAAAGTATCTTTGTAGGATTAGCAACATTTTTCGAAAGCTGAGGTGTAACAATTTCTTTTTGTGTAACACCCGCATTAGCTTACCCCGCAGGGCAGTGGGAACTCCAATGCCAAAACGCTGCAGTCCTTCCCTAAGGACAAGCCGCGCTCCCGCTCGGCACGCTGCTGCAATTTCAATAATCAAACATCTTCCAACTGCAACTGTCCTCACTCTGCATGCATGAGGCCTAATGCTTTATCCATTTTCGCGACCTCCCCGACAGGTGCAGCGTAATTTAACGTCGCCAAGATGTCTGACGACTTTGCCCCCAGCGGTTTACCCGATGAACGTGTTCATTGTTCACTTCACGGCAATTGGAGTGCGTCAGCATTACTGTGCCTAACCCCTTTCGATAGACCACCTGGAGCGAGTAATCCTGTAATATTTCCAGCCAGCGTGAAAGCTGGCTGGAGGGCTGATCTACACATAGGAAGTACTGGAGGGCCGCGTGATCCGTGTGGACCACGAAGCCCCTCCCGTAAAGGCAGCGTCTGTACTGTAGCACAAAGTGTACCATGACCAACAGTTCCCTCTGGGTTATGCAGTAACGCTGCTCCATGGTCGACAGGACGCGACTCCATTTTTAACTTGTGACAGGACAGCCGCTATACCCATGTCACTCGCATCTGTGCCCAAAATGAACGGCAAGGAAAAATCTGGATGCTCAAGGTGAGGCGCGCTGGCAAGGCGTTCGCGTAACGCAACAAATGCGGCCTCCTCCTCCCCCCATCTTAACTTCTGGCCCTTCATAGTCAAAGCATGGAAGGGTTTTGCAACCGTTGCGAATTGTGGGATGAACTGTCAGTAGTAGAACACAAACCCGACAAAACTGCGCACTTCCCCTACGATTTGGGAGTTGGCCAGTTGCGCACGCACGCCGTTTTGTTGGGGTTCTTGGCTATCCTGGAATTGCTCACAATGTGACCCAAATATCGCACTGATGATTGCAACAGATGGAACTTGGCAGGTTTTAATTTGAGATTAGCCCATCGGATCCTAGATAACACAGAATGCAACCGTTGTAAGTGCTTCTCAAAAGTGTGGCCAAACACAATGCCGTTGTCAAGATAAATGAGGCACGAGTCCCATGGCAGGTCTGCCAGAACCAATTATATTAACCTCTGAAATGTGTCAGGGGCTGAATGCAACCCTATCGGAAGGCAGTTAAGGTGGTACAATCCCTGGGGTGTTCAAAATGCTGTTTTTGGCTTGGATGACTCATCCAGGGGAAGTTGCCAAAACCCCGACAACAGGTCTAAAGTCCAGAAACCGAGCACCCAACAACGCATCCAGGAAATCATCCATTTGTGGGAGCGGGTATGTGTCTGCGACTGAAACTTTATTCAATTTCTGAAAATGGACGCAAAACCACAGGGTACATTCGTCCTTCGTTACCAGCACCACAGGAGCTCCCCAAGGGCTAGTGGAGAAAGAAATAATATCTGCCACTAACATTTCCTCCACCGCTTGCTGTATATTTTCTTTTTCCAGCGGGCTCAACCTATATGGGTTTTGTCGAATAGGGGCTGCATTGCCCGTGTCAATATGGTGTTGCAGCAAGGAGGTACGGTCAATGTAAAATTTGCTGAACACATCAGAAAACTCCCGCAGGAGCGATCGCAACTTGAGCCGTTGCACCTGCGACAATTTTGGGTTCTCATCACACAATTTGTCCATCCATTTCTCATAGGCCTCGACCGCCTGTTCTACCATGCCTATAACTGCTTCCAAGGAGGAGTTGGCAGCCTCGGTACCCGCCGTTGTTGCATGGGCCATCACTGTTCGTGCCTGAAATACAGTTGGTCTTACACCCACATTAAGGACCTGCAGAAACGGTTCCTGATTCCTCCACAAATTTGTTTGCGCCCTGACCAGCGTAAGCCGCTGGGTCACTGCTTTAGATGGGGTAAGGAGGACTCCTGCCTCCAGATCATCCAGATTCAACTGCTTGCGGTACCGCAACGGGACCAATATTTGCGTGCTGGGTGGGATCTCTAGAGATTCCCTCACCAGGCCCCGACGGAATCTCGACGTACCCCTGGTTGGTCAAAATTTTCAGGGGCATCTTGTTCAAGAAGTCGGTGCCCGTCTGCTCCTCAATTTCCATATTCCCTACATTAGCCGCCACGCACGCATTTACCACTGGCATCACACAACGATTTCTCACTGGCAGTGATTCGAAAATGTATGTTTTATATTTATTCAAAGTGTCACAGAAGGATGTAGGCTGACTAAATGTAGCTACTACACGATGTTTCCTGTATATCTGGTTGACTATATATGGAGAAGACGATGTAGCCGCCAGCAACGATGTTGACTTCATAAATTATATGATGACGATAACAGGGACGACAACAACGATGAGGACAGCGATGATCGCAGCCACGACGATCCGGACCCAGACTCCCCACAGCAGCCCCGAGCCCCGTTTCATGCTCCCCCTATATATTCCTCCTGACTCAGCTCCCACCCCTCTCTCGACCCTCTCTCTCGCAGCTCTCCCCACCTGGCTTACTGTCTTGGTGCCCCGCCCCCTCCTGTAACCATAATTATCACTCACGGCCTCTAAGCCACGCACTGTCCTTACACAGGTACCGCCGTGCATGCGCGCACACTCGCACTGTCACACAATAACAACATCAACAACAGTAACCGTCATTCGCCACTAAGTGGCGGTGACATCACCATGGCGCTTGCACCAGGCTCGGTGCACTTTGAGGCCACGTGAAGTGTTGAAGGCTCGCTGCTGACGGGAGGTCACAGGACAGACCCAGGTACCATGGGTAGACTGACTTAAATGACAGGCCGATGCACCACCTGTACCCACTGCTGTGCCAACTTGCTATGTTTTAGCCACCTGGCACTCCACTTCTTATTGTTGTTAGCATCGCTCCTCTGCCTCCAACTGCCCAGTATTAGCATCCTTCGCAGAGGCCGATCTTACCACCACTGGTACCGGTCATCAGCAAGTCCACTCAGCTCCACATCCTTGTACCACGTCACTCCATCCCACACACCCACACATGTACACTGTCACGCACGATTCTTCAACACATCTAAGGATCAGCAGGTCCTTGGAGAGCCGTTTAATCTATTCTTCTAGACGCGACGACGTCCCACGCAACGCGCACATCATTAGCCCCACCCCTGGCCCTGCTTGGCTCCGAGCAAGATTCAGACAACTTGGAGGTCAGCGTGTTGGTTCCGGCTCTACTTGGCTAGTTAAAGAGCCAGTGGAAAATATCCTGTACCATGCTGGGCCCATGCTGGCATGCAGGTACTCGTGTGCACACACATACACATATGCGCATGTTGACACACGCGTGCATGTACATACACAGCATGCAGGTACACAATGAAGGCCGGCACTGTGGCACACGATGGGGTGGTGTGCCCAAAAACCACACCAGGCCACCTTTGCCTCCCCAGCGACGATGTTTAAAAACCGCACCGGGTACTCATTTGAGGCTGAGTCGACGTAGTCACTCGCTTGCGCGCGCACGCACCTCTGAGTGAGGAGTCTCTCCCCCAGGTGGATGTCTACGTCATGGAGCCCAAGGGCATCAGCTTCATCCACGTGCCGCCCATCCCCGGCATTCCCAGCAACATCATCAACATCACACACAGCAACAACAAGGTGAGGGAGGCCGCCGCTCACCCGCAGAGCAACACTCACCTGCTCACCCTCTGAGCGATGCTCACCCGCTGCGCGACGCTCACTTACGCAACCGCATACCAAAGCTCACCTGCTCACCGAATGAGTGACGCTCACCTGCTCACCTGCTCATCCGCAGGGCAACGCTCACCCGCTTACCTGCTGAGTGGTGCTCACCCTCTCACCTGATCACCCACAGAGAAACGCTCACCCACTCGCCTGCTCACCCGCAGAGCAACGCTCACCTGCTGAATGATCAATCGCTCATCGTATACGCGCAACACACTCACCAGTTGCTCGTGACCGCTCACCAGCCACGCACAGCGCACTCACCACAGACACCTAACGACAAATATCACGCCCATGCCCCCCTGCCACGCTGTCCCCCTGATTCTCTACCCAACTGCCCCCCTGCCCCGCTGCCCCCTTGCCCCACTGAGCCCCTACCCCCCTGTCCCCCTGCCCCACTGATCCCCTACCCCCCTGCCCCCCTGCCCAGGCCCACATCCGCCTGCGGCCATGCCCCCCGGCTGCCGTGGAGGGGGGGCCATGTCCGGGCTGCAGCAGCGCCGTGCTGGAGGGCAGCATGGCGGTGCGCTACGACGTGAAGCGAGAGCTCAGCGCCGGGGACGTGCAGGTGCCTGCCAGTGCACTGTCTGTGTGTGTGTACGTGTGTGTGTGTGTACATGTGTCTGTGTGTACGTGTGTGTGTGTGTGTGTACGTGTGTGTGTGTACGTGTGTGTGTGGCTCTTCTTTTGAACAAAAGAATGAAGGGGGCGTGGGAGCGTGGCGGTGAGGTGTGGGAAGCTGTAAGCCCCAGGCTACTTTGGGCTCGCCTTCCCATCAACCGGAGGCGAGGAATGGTGGTCGTGGTTACTTATGCCCCCACCGAAGATGAACATCCGTGGAGGGATGCAGGCAAAGCCGATGAGTCAGATGCCTTCTATGACCTCTTGTCACAGGTGCTGGCTAAAGTGGCCCCTCGGGATAGAGTCATCATGTTGGATGACTTCAATGCCCGAGTTGGTCATGATACTAGCACCTGGTCTGGAGTGATTGGAGGGCATGGGCCAGATCAGCTCAATAACAACGGTAGGAGGCTGCTAGATTTTTGTGCAGCCCATGGGCTTGTAATTACCAACACGCTGTTCCGGCATCGGCGCATCCACACAACATCACGGATGCATGCCGGGTCCAAGCAAGAACATCTGCTGGACTACATAGTGACGGACCAGCGGATGCGAGCCCATGTCCTTGACACCAGGGCCTACCGTGGAGCTGATCTGCCCTCTGACCATCGACTAGTCATCTGTAAGATGCGCCTGCCATTCTTCCACTCCGGTGGTGGGTGTACACCCAGGACCCCATTCCGACCTAAAGTGGCCTGATCTCAGTTATCTGATGAAAGTTGCAAGCGAGAATTTCATCATCGCTTGCGGCTGGGATTGGCATCGTCCCCGACTCCTCCTGATGTCGAGGGTAAATGGGCGAGGTTTAGGACTGTGACTCATGCAGCTGCAATGGCTGCTTTGGGTACGCGGTCCAGACCTCCCCAAAGACCCTGGCTGACAGAGGAGGTGTTCAGGATGGTTGAGAAAAAGCGACAGGCCCACTGTCATCGGCTACAGAATCCCACGTCAGAGAATGAGGAGGCTTACCGCAGCCTTCGCTCGGAGGTTCGGAGAGCCGTGAGGCGCTGCAAGGATGGGGGTGGTCGCGGGTTGCTGAGGAGATGGAGTCTGCCTCAGTGGCCCGCGATCACAAATCTCTATTTAACTCCATCAAAAAAGTAACCTGCAGCACCACACCTATTACCATCATTAGGGGAAAAAACGGTGATCCAATCTCCGACCCCCAGGAACAGGTTTTCAGATTTGCTGAGCATTTCTGTGAGGTCCTGGGGGAGGGAAAATCCCTCAGCCAGAAAAACATCGTGGCACAAAGTGAGGATGACCCTGCTGAGGCTGCGGTGCCTCAAATATTGGAAGAAATCACCCCCTGTGAGTGGCTGGCTGAGGTGCCATCTGTTGAGGAAGTACTAAAGGCGATCCGGAGTCTGAGACCAGGAAAGGCAGCGGGCAGAGATGATCTCCCAAGCGAAATGCTGAGGGAGGGTGGCGTTTATGCACAGACTGCCCTATATGACATTATAACAACGGTCTGGACCACTGGACGGGTTCCGCAGGATTGGAAGGATGCCCTGGTGGTCCCCCTCTTTAAGAAGGGGGACCGCATAGACTGTAACAACTACAGGGGCATCTCACTCCTCAGTGTGCCGGGAAAGGTCCTGGCAAGGATTATTCAGCATCGCCTTGCCAGGCACGCTGAGGAGAGGCTTGCGGAGCCCTAATGCGGTTTCAGGAAAGGGCGGTCCTGCACAGATGCCATATTTTCTGTCCGTCTGCTACAGCAGAGGTGTAGGGAATTCCAACAAGACCTACATCTCTGCTTTATTGATCTGGTCAAGGCCTATGATACCATCAGTAGGCCTGGGCTCTGGGTCGTTCTTCGTGCTTTTGGAGTACCTGACCCTCTGCTCACGATCATTAAGGACCTTCATGATGGTGAGCGGGCCCGGGTAAAACTACGTGGCCGGGAGTCAGAGCCATTCCCTGTACACCTTGGGGTGCGACAGGGATGTCCTCTGGCTCCCACATTATTTAACATCTATTTTGACCACGTAGTTTGTGAAGCCTTCAAAATCTGTACCGGGGGAATCTCCATATGGTACAGATATAATGGGAGGCTGATCGATGCCCAGGTGCGGTCAAGGGATGGCTCCCTATTGCTCAACCACGTTATGTATGCTGATGATTTGGTAATAGTTGCTCAGTCAGAGGAGGAGTTGGAGACACTGCTGCTGAGACTGGAGCATGCCACTAGGAGGTGGGGCCTTTCCATCAGCCCCACCAAAACTAAGCACCTGCCTGGGTATTTTGTACCATTGGACACTCCACCCCCACAATTCCCAATCGGTGATGGGGCAGTTGTGGAGAGAGTGGAGAGTTTCCCATACCTGGGCAGTGTGCTTATGACTGGCTCCAGTTTAACAGCAGAGGTCTCACTCCGAATCAGTCGAGCGGCAATATATTTTCATCGGTTGCGTAACGCTGTGTGGAAGCTACCTGGTCTGTCGCTCCGCACTAAGCTTCAGGTCTTCTCGGCCACGGTCATTCCCTCCCTTCTCTACGCTTGCGAAACGTGGACCCCCCTAATGGAACATCTTCGCCGGTTAGAAACATTTAGGCTGGCCTGCCTACGATCCATCCTGGGTTTAACCAGACTGGATTGTGTGAGGAGCTCACAAATCCTTGAAAGATCTGGGCAAGGTCCCATCGGTGAGCTCCTCCGGCGGGCAAGGCTGCGATGGCTGGGTCATGTAGCCCGCATGCCCAGCCAACGCATGCTGAAACAGCTTTTGTTCGGCCGGATTGAGGGGGCTAAGCGGGCGCGGCACGGGCTAGAGAAGAGATGGAGTGATGTGGTACAGGAGGACGTGGAGCTGAGTGGACTTGCCGATGACTGGTACCAGCGGTGTCAAGATCGGCCTCTGTGGAGGAGGCTCGTGAAGGATGCTACTGGGCAGTTGGAGGTAGTCGCCCTCCAACAACAACGGAGGGCGGAGGAGCGACGCTCACAACAACGAGCGGAGCGCCGGGTGGCTAAAGCACAGCAGGTTGGCACAGTAGGGGGCACAGGTGGTGCATCAGCCAGTCATCTCAGTCAGTCGACCCGTGGCACCTGGGTCTGCCCCGTGACCTCCTGCCAGCGGGCGTTCGACACTTCACGTGGCCTCAGGGTGCACATAGCCTGGCACACGCGTCGTGGTGACGTCACCGCCACTTAGTGGCGAATGGCGGTTGTTGTTGTTGTGTACGTGTCTGTGTACATGTGTGTACATGTGTGTGTGTGTGTACGTGTCTGTGTGTGTACATGTGTCTGTGTGTGTACGTGTGTGTGTGTACGTGTCTGTGTACATGTGTCTGTGTACGTGTCTGTGTGTGTACGTGTCTGTGTACATGTGTCTGTGTGTGTACATGTCTGTGTGTGTGTACATGTGTCTGTGTGTGTGTACGTGTGTGTGTGTACGTGTCTGTGTACATGTGTCTGTGTGTGTGGACGTGTGTGTGTGTGTACGTGTGTGTGTGTGTGTGTGTGCGTGTTTGTGTGTACATGTGTGTGTTTGTGTGTACGTGTATGTGTGTGTACTTGGTGCCGGACGGGCAACTCTGTCGTGGACAGTGCTGTGGGGGGAGGGCCAATTCCGATTGGCCTCTCCCCTCATGGCATCTGTGACCACCACAGTGGCTAAACGGGGGCTCTGGACAGGTGCGAGGGGCTGGTAACCCCTCCACCTTCAAAAAAATACCACGAAACCACGAATTAAAAATGTAACTAATAAGCTTGTGCCAGAGGCCCTTGGGGACAGGCGTCTATGACGTCTCCTGGCCAAACCCCAATTGGCGGAGCCAGGAGATTGAATCTCTACCCTCGGGGCTCCTCCAGAAACAACGAAAAGCCACTTCGTGTGGCTACGTGGAATGTGGCCACACGAAGGAAAATCACCAGGCAGAGATGATCTCCCACGCGAAATGCTGAGGGAGGGTGGCGTGTGTGTGCAAACTGCCCTATATGACATAATAATAACAATCTGGGCCACTGTACAGGTTCTGCACTATTGGAAGGATGCCATGGTGGTCACCCTCTTTAAGAAGGGGGACCGCACAGATTGTAACTGTAACAACTACAGGGGCATCTCGATCCTCAGTGTGCTGGGAAAGGTCCTACCAAGGATTATTCAACATCGTCTTGCCAGGCACTCTGAGGCATGTGGAGCCCCAAAGTTGTTTCAGGCTAGGATGCTCCTGCACAGATGCCATATTTTCTGTCCGTCTGCTACAGCAGAAGTATAAGAAATTCCAAAAGGACCTACATCTCTGCTTTATTAACATGGTCAAGGCCTATGATACCATCAATGGGTCTGGGCTCTGGGTTGTTTTTCTTGATTTCGGAGTCCCTAACTCTCTGCTCCCAATCATTAATGACCTTCATGATGGTGGACAGGCCTGGGTAAAACTTCGTGACCAGAATTCGGAACCTTTCCCTGTTCACCTTGGGGTGTGGCAGGGATGCCCTCTGGCTCCCACATTACTTAACATCATTTTAGACTATGTAGTTCGTGAAGCCTTCTATGCCTGTACCGGAGGAATTTCTATCTGGTACAGATACAATGGGAGGCTGATCGGTGCCGGTGTGCGGTCAAAGGATGGCTCCCTATTGGTCAACCATGTTACGTATGCTGATGATCTGGTGATTGCTGCTCCTCAGAGCAGGCTTGGAGGCGCTGCTGCTGAACTTGGAGTGTGCCACTATCAGCCCCACCTAAACTAAAGAACCTGCCTGGGTATTTGTGCCATCAAACACTCCACCCTCGGACTCCCCATTGGTGATGGGGCAGTTGTGGAGATAGTGGATAGTTTTTCATACCTTGGCAGTTTGCTTATGACCAGCTCCGGTTTGAGAACAGAGGTCTCACTCTGTCACTGTGTGTCACTGTGTGTCACTGTCACTGTGTGTATCACTGTCACTGTGTATCTCACTGTCAATCTGTGTGTGTCTCTCACTCTCACTGTGTGTCACGCTTATTGTATGTGTCACTCTCAATGTTAATGTGTGTGTCTCTCACTGTCATTGTGTGTCATTCTCACTGTTACTGTGTATGTCTCTCACTGTCACTGTGTGTGTGTTACTCTCACTGTCACTGTGTGTGTCACTCTCACTGTTACTGTGTATGTCTCTCACTGTCTCTGTGTCTGTGCGTCTCTCTCTGTGTTTCTCTCTGTGTCTCTCACTGTGACCGCCAGATCTCCAATGGCTACTTTGCTCACTTCATTGCTCCGGCGAACATCCCTCCCACGCCAAAGAATATCGTCTTCATCATCGACGTCAGCGGATCCATGTGGGGCCTCAAGATGAAGCAGGTGACTAGACAGACACGCATAGACTCATCACAGAGACCCATACACTCAGTCACACAGAGACCCATAGAATCACACAAAGACAAATAGACTCACATACACACACACAGCCGCATAGACTCACACACGCAGAGACTCATAGACTCACACAGAGACACATAGACTCACACAGAGACCCATATACTCACAGAGAGACCCATGTATTCATACAGAGACCCATAGATGCACACACACAGAGACCCATACAGTCACACAGAGACACATAGACTCAAACACACACAGACCCATAGACTCACACAGAGACCCAGAAACTCACACAGAGCCCCATATACTCATACAGAGGCTCATACACTAATACAGAGACTCATAGACTCACGCAGAGATCCATAGACTCACACAAACAGAGACTCATAGGCTCACACAAAGACCCAAGAACTCACACAGAGACCTATAGATTTACACAAAGCCCCATATACTCATACAGAGACCTATATACTCACACATAGACCCATAGATTCACACACACAGAGACCCATACACTCACACAGAAATCCATAGACTCACACAGAGACCTATAGATTCACACACAAACGGACCCATACACTCACACAGAGACCCATAGACTCACACAGAAACCCATAGACTCACACACACGGAGACTCATAGACTCACACAGAGACCCATAGACTCACACATAGACTCATAGTCTCACACAGAGACCCATAAACTCACACAGCGACACATAGACACACACAGATACCCATAGACTCACACAGAGACCCATAGACCCACACAAAGACACATAGACACACACGGAGACTCATAGACTCATCACACAGAGACCCATAGACTCACACAGAGACTCATAGACTAACACAGAAACCCATAGACTCACATACACAGAGACTCATAGACTCACACAGACACCCATAGACTCACACAGAGACTTTTAGACTCACACAGAGAACCATAGACTCACATAGAGACGCATAGACTCTCACAGAGACCCATAGACTCACACACAGAGACTCATAGACTCAGAGACCCATAGACTCACACAGCGACACATAGACACACACATACCCATAGCCTCAGACAGAGACCTAAAGATTCACATACACATACACTCACACAAAGACACATAGACTCAAACACACACAGACCCATAGACTCACACAGAGCCCCATATTCTCATACAGAGACCCATACACTAATACAGAGACTCATAGACTCTCACAGAGATCCATAGACTCACACAAACAGAGACTCATAGCCTCACACAAAGACCCAAGAACTCACACAGAGACCCATAGATTCACACAAAGCCCAATATACTCATACAGAGACCCATATGCTCACACATAGACCCATAGATTCACACACACAGAGACCCATACACTCACACAGAAATCCATAGACTCACAAAGAGGCCCATAGATTCACGCACAAAAGGACCCATACACTCACACAGAGACCCATAGACTCACACATAAACCCATAGACTCACACACACACAGACTCTTTGACTCACACAGAGACCCATCGACTCACACAGAGACTCATAGTCTCACACAGAGACCCATACACTCACACAGATACCCATAGACTCACACAGAAACCCATAGACTCACATGCACAGAGACTCATAGACTCACACAGAGACCCATAGACTCACACAGCGACACATAGACACACACAGATACCCATAGACTCACACAGAGACCCATAGACCCACACAAATACACAGACACACACGGAGACCCATAGACTCACACACACAGAGACTCTTAGACTCACACAGAGACACATAGACTCACACAGATACCCATAGACTTATCACACAGAGACCCATAGACTCACACAGAGACTCATAGACTCACACAGAGACCCATACACTCACACAGAGACCCATAGACTAACACAGAAACCTATAGACTAACATGCACAGAAACTCATAGACTCACACAGACAGCCATCGACTCACACAGAGACTCATAGACTTACACAGAGACCCATAGACTCACACAGAGACTCATAGACTCAGAGACCCATAGACTCACACAGCGACACATAGACACACAAAAATACCCATAGCCTCACACAGAGACCTAAAGATTCACATACACATACACTCACACAAAGATAAATAGACTCAAACACACACAGACCCATAGACTCACATAGATACCCATATTCTCATACAGAGACCCATAGACTCACACATAGTTGCATAGACTCACACAAAGACCTACCATACACTCGCAGAGACTCATAGATTCACAAAGAGAATCATAGACTCACATAAAGACCTATATACTCATACAGAGACCCATAGACTCACACAGAGACCCATAGACTCACACAGTGACACATAGACACACACAGATACCCATAGACTCACACAGAGACCCATAGACCCACACAAAGACACATAGACACACACGGAGACCCATAGACTCACACACACAGAGACTCTTAGACTCACACAGAGACAAATAGACTCACACAGAGACCCATAGACTCATCACACAGAGACCCATAGACTCACACAGAGACTCATAGACTCGCACAGAGACCCATACACTCACACAGAGACCCATAGACTAACACAGAAACCCATAGACTCACATGCACAGAGACTCATAGACTCACACAGACACCCATAGACTCACACAGAGACTTTTAGACTCACACAGAGAACCATATACTCACATAGAGACGCATAGACTCCCAAAGAGACCCATACACTCACACAGACTCATAGACTCACACAGAGACCCATAGACTCACACACAGAGACTCATAGACTCAGAGACCCATAGACTCACACAGCGACACATCGACACACACAGATACCCATAGCCTCACGCAGAGACCTAAAGATTCACATACACTCACACAAAGACAAATACACTCAAACACACACACAGACCCATAGACTCATACATAGACCCATAGACTCACACAGAGACCCATAGACTCGTACAGAGACCCGGAGACTCACACAGAGACTCATAGACTTACACAGAGACCCATAGACTCACACACATAGACTCAGACTCAGAGACCCATAGACTCACACAGCGACACATAGACACACTCAGATACCCATAGCCTCACACAGAGACCTAAAGATTCACATAAACAACACTCACACAAAGATAAATAGACTCAAACACACACAGACCCATAGACTCACATAGATACCCATATTCTCATACAGAGACACATAGACTCACACATAGTTACACAGACTCACACAAAGACCCACCATACACTCGCAGAGACTCATAGACTCACACAGAGAATCATAGACTCACATAAAGACCCATATACTCATACAGAGACCCATAGACTCACACAGAGACCCATAGACCCACACAGCAACACATAGACACACACAGATACCCATAGACTCACACAGAGACTCATAGACTCACACAGAGACCTATACACTCACACAGAGACCCATAGACTAACACAGAAACCCATAGACTAACATGCACAGAGACTCATAGACTCACACAGACACCCATCGACTCACACAGAGACTCATAGACTTACACAGAGACCCATAGACTCACACAGATACCCATAGACTCACACAGAAACCCATAGACTCACATGCACAGAGACTCATAGACTCACACAGAGACCCATAGACTCACACAGCGACACATAGACACACACAGATACCCATAGACTCACACAGAGACCCATAGACCCACACAAAGACACATAGACACACACGGAGACCCATAGACTCACACACACAGAGAATCTTAGACTCACACAGAGACACATAGACTCACACAGAGACCCATAGACTTATCACACAGAGACCCATAGACTCACACAGAGACTCATAGACTCACACAGAGACCCATACACTCACACAGAGACCCATAGACTAACACAGAAACCCATAGACTAACATGCACAGAGACTCATAGACTCACACAGACACCCATCGACTCACACAGAGACTCATAGACTTACACAGCGACCCATAGACTCACACACAGAGACTCATAGACTCAGAGACCCATAGACTCACACAGCGACACATAGACACACACAAATACCCATAGCCTCACACAGAGACCTAAAGATTCACATACACATACACTCACACAAAGACAAATAGACTCAAACACACACAGACCCATAGACTCACATAGATACCCATATTCTCATACAGAGACCCATAGACTCACACATAGTTGCATAGACTCACACAAAGACCCACCATACACTCGCAGAGACTCATAGATTCACAAAGAGAATCATAGACTCACATAAAGACCCATATACTCATACAGAGACCCATAGACTCACACAGAGACCCATAGACTCACACAGTGACACATAGACACAAACAGATTCCCATAGACTCACACGGAGACCCATAGACCCACACAAAGACACATAGACACACACGGAGACCCATAGACTCACACACACAGAGACTCATAGACTCACACAGAGACTCATAGACTCGCACAGAGACCCATACACTCACACAGAGACCCATAGACTAATACAGAAACCCATAGACTCACATGCACAGAGACTCATAGACTCACACAGACACCCATAGACTCACACAGAGACTTTTAGACTCACACAGAGAACCATATACTCACATAGAGACGCATAGACTTCCACAGAGACCCATACACTCACACAGACTCATAGACTCACACAGAGACCCATAGACTCACACACAGAGACTCATGGACTCAGAGACCCATAGACTCACACAGCGACACATCGACACACACAAATACCCATAGCCTCACGCAGAGACCTAAAGATTCACATACACATACAATCACACAAAGACAAATACACTCAAACACACACACAGACCCATAGACTCACACAGAGACCCATAGACTCGTACAGAGACCCGGAGACTCACACAGAGACTCATAGACTTACACAGAGACCCATAGACTCACACACATAGACTCAGACTCAGAGACCCATAGACTCACACA